TCCCGCTCACCTTGTGTAAGTCCCATTAAACATTAACCATACTCTTTTTCTTTTCTGTTTGCTTGCACTTTGACTCATTAGTTTCTCTCTCTCTCTCTCTCGCTGTCAAACTTCCCAGCTTTTCTTGCTACACTGTTCTCCACTCTCATTGTAACTGTGGTCTCTGTGTCACTACACTCGACTCAGACACTCCTCTCCCTGCTATGCACTCATACCAACCCTGTTTTAATACTTCTCTTTACTTTCTTGTAGAGGCTATCTGAAAACAAATGAATGAATTTAACTCGAACCTGAAAGGAATTAGTTCAAACTTTAATTGGACCAAATATTCAATCAAAATGAAGGTTTTTTGTGATTTCTTTGGAGATATAACATGTTTTCACAGCTGTTGTGTTTTTGCTCCACTGTATCTTTATATAACTTATTCAAACAGTGTTAGTCAAACAGTGACTGTGACGCCTTTCTCTTGGAATTTATGAAGTTTGCGTTTCTGTAGGTGGTGTCTTTGTTTAACCAGTCCTAACTTTACCTTGCTTATTACCCATTTCTTTTTATATAAAAAGCTACACTGTTGCTACAGAAAACCTTTTCTTCCCTAGGAAAGACCGACCAGATGGAACAGCGTATGAAATCAAACATTATAGTAGTAAAATATGTGAGCAGGCCACAAAAGAATACAAATAATCCAACAAGTCAGCAACAGTACATCTTAGTAAAAACAATCCATAACTAAGATAATTCATGATGGGCAGAATACTATATCACAACGTGAGAGATCAGGAATGTTGGCAGCATTTTTCCTGGGCCACATTATTCAAAACAATTGTTGCAAATTGTCACATGGATATATTAAGTAACACACTAACTGAATTTATTTTCCTCACTTTGTAAAGGTTTCTATTCAGTGAGCGGGAGCTCTCTGTCGGACTCTTGCTACTCTGTGTCCAGCGATGCAGCTCAGGGGGCATCAGCGCCTGCGGCCCGACCCCCGAAGCTGTGGGAGCAGGTCCCTCTGTCCGCTGACAACACGGACCCCCTGTGGGCAGACCGGGCGCTGCAGCAGCAGCAGCAGCAGCCGCCTGCACTGCAGGGCAGCCAGGGAGACGCTGAACCAACAGAAGGGACAACAGCTTCGGGTGAGATGGTGCAGACAATAGATCCATGTCATGTAAATGTATCTGTGTAAATATGAATTCACAGCTGCCAGCTGAAGCGGGCTCAAAAAGGTCAACAGAAGACTGTTCAAAGCAGTGCCATGGTCATATCGGTGATGATCATAAGTTTGCAATATACCAGTATGATGCATAAATAAGGATCATGTTGATAATATAAATATCATAATTTCATGTGAGCATCTGGTTGTCCTTTTCTTTGGACATAAGGGTAATTGTACATTTTGTACACATTTGTTTACAGACTCTTTCTCCACCTCTACACTTCTAAAGATATCATGATATCAATATAGTCAATTATTTCAGCCCCAAAAATCATGAAGTAAAAATCCTATATTGTGACAGCCCATAATGAACCTGATTGGGATTGATGTAAAATACAATTATCTGAAGTTCTTCTCTTCTTCTCATTTACAGTGCAAGGTGAAATTGAAGAGACTGGTCTGAGCTTTCTCTCTGACCTCTGCTCGGGACTCGGTGACTCCCTGGTTTCTTCCCTCATTCAACTTCTTGAATCCACCTCCTCCTCATCCTCCTTCTCCCCACTCCAGCCAAACACCCAGCTGGACCCTCGCTACTGCACAGACCTAGTGTCCCGTCGGACCAAAGAGGTGTACCCCTACCCCAGCCCGCTGCACGCCGTCGCCCTCCAGAGCCCCATTTTCACCTCCCAGAGCCAGGAGCCATCAGCCTCTCCCAGCCCTGAGGGTCTCCAGCTAGATGACCCTCAGGAGTCCAGCTCTGTCCCCCCTCTGCCCCTCCAGCCTGCTGCCTCTCTCACCCAGCTGGAGCAGTACATCTCTCGTCTGGCTCGCCAGTACCACAGTCGGGTCACCTGCTCCACCTCCGATCTCACTTCAGCTGCCATCCCTGGTGAGGTCAGAGGCCTTTGTACCCCTGGCAAAAGTCACGGATCCACCCAGTCCCTCTTTGCCTTTGAGAGTCGCAGCACCCCCTCCTCCAACATCACTCCCTGTAAGTCTCTGCTGGGAAACTCTGCCAGATTCAGCCTCAGCACCACCGGAAAAAAAGCCACTAGGAATTCAATAAACCTAGGTAACCTCCCCTCAGCCACTGGAGAGGACTTGAACATAAATCTGCATCTCAACCTCAACTTGAACCTGACTCCCGGTTTAAGTTCTAGCAGTGTGGACAATCCCAAAAATGGCAGCTGTGGAGCTTTAAGAAGCAACTCTGCATCTGCTCCCACAGCCTCTGCCACATCGCTCTCCTCCGCCACACCCACCCCCGCACTTAGAGCCCGCCCTCGCATTTCAACATGCCCGAGCAGCCTGAGCCACCGCAGCTCCTTGGAGGTTACTTCAGGGTCTGGACACAGTCCTGGATTTGGGTCATCTGCCTTCTGCCGCTCATTAGACTGGAGCAGCTGCGCTCCGCCTGAGACTCCACCTTCAGTATTTGGTTCTGGATCGGCTCCCGGGTCTCAGCGCAGCAGCTTGATCCAAGAGGCCAGCTCCAGTCCCAAGATAAGCGAGGACTCCCCCATGGTGGGTGAGATCTCCCGCCTCTCCGGCCTCACCAGGGCTGTTGTGGTGGGACTGATGGAACAAGGTGTGGAGCTGGACATCGACTGCTTCCAGACAGACACCGCGGGCGAGGTGCGGAGTCACAGCAAAACTCACCTGACACCCACGGCCAAGACAGATCAGTCACATGACTACGCCAGACTGAGCGACCAGAATCCACAGAGACCAATTCAGCTGTCTCTCAGTGTCACCCATTCTCCCCAGTCTCATTGCAGCCTCACCCCTCCTCTCTCACACAGCAGCAGCCCCATACACCCTTATCAGTCCATCCACGTTCCATCTCCTCACTACTCCTCTCACTGCCACTACCAGCAGATCCCTTCTCCATCCGACCTCCCCTCATCCACGGCCTCCTCCCCTGCCTCCCGTCCCACCACCAGGGGCCGCTCCCCTCCCCGGCCTCTCCAGCCGTCCCCTCTGGGCGCCACCCCGCTCTCAGTTTTCCGACGGGATGCGCCCTTCCAGTGCTCCCTGCCTCGCACGATTATGAGGAGCTCTCCTTTGGAGCAAGGAGGGATCCACCCGAGAGGGGGATCACTTCGGCAGAGTGCGGGAGGAACTGTTGGGTGGAAGAGGGTGGAGGGAGAGGGGCTTTACAGTGGGAAGCACTCCTCTCACAAGTTGATCCGGGCAGCCACAGTAAGCAGCTACGCCAAGAGAGAGGACTATTGCTCGGCTTGGGCTGAGGAGCAGGAGCAGCCCGCGGCCCAGACACCCAGGAAGACCTCCAACAAACTGTGGAGGGGCTTCGAGGGGCGCCTCCGGGACAAAGAGTCCGAATGCGAAAAGGAAGAGATGGACAGAGCCGAGTACGGCTATGGCTGGAGGAGCAACAGCGTCGGAAGCTGGCGGAGGGAGGGACGGAGGGTGAAGGCTCCATCCAGCAGTAACGACAAGAGGCCGAAAGTGGAGAACTCGCCGATGTTCTCGAAGAAGAGGGGGAAGGAGGAAGGGGAGAGACGCAGCACCAGCATCAGGCTTTCCAGGAGGGCTTTGTTCAGGAGCGAGTCCCAAGGTTTGCTGGTGTCTCGTAACCACGGCGAGGAGCCAACAAAGCGGGCACACTGGGTCTCCTCATTAGACGTGGGGCAAGGGGGCCTCAGCAAACACGAAGGCATCAGACTGCTGAGGGCGAAGGAGGAAGACAAACGACTGTCGTCCACCGCCAGCCTCTTTAACCTCTCTCGCTCTCAGAGCCTCGAAGGCAGCTGCCACTCCCTCTCCCCTTTCTCCTCCCCTTCCTTCTCCCCTTCCCCGCCCCCCAGGATGCCCATGCAGCGCTCTCGGTCTCTAAAGGACTTGGGGAGGAGAGTGTTTGGCTCCATGAGGTCGCTGAGTCTCAAACGAAAGCCATCCAAGAAGTGACACTTGTACAATAAATTACCATCACAGTGAACGCATCTGTGGTTAGTATTTTAATTCATGTAAAAGGAAGTGCCATCATTTTAAAGCTTCAAGCTTCACTGAGTGACCATTATACATCTGACAGCCCTTTCTTCCAATACCAATATGATGGAAGTTCCTCTCAGGCTCATAGTCTGTGAAAAATGCATACTTTTCCGTCTAACTCACGTCATTTCTAAAGACACATTTTATAGCCTGCCAAAAAAAAAACTGAAAACTACCAGATGTCTGTTACATTTTTTCCAAATGGGTTCTAGAGTGTAATCAAAATGCTTTGCAGCCGATCAATTTCACTGTCTTACACTGCAAAATTGCCCTGAGGGCAAAACATTTTCAACAAGGGAGAATTTTTCTTTTTAGGAGCTGCAAATAGCTTTCAACTTTTAAAAACGTTGTGTTGGTTTCAGTGGAGTTTTTTTACAATTCATAATTTACCATCTCACAGCCACCTATTCTAGGCTGGAGAAGCCTCGTATAAAGATATTGAGTATAAAGTAATAATGTTGGCTTTACGCAAAGTTCTCCTGTGACCATGAGTATGAATGTGTAAATGTACACTCCCCTTCTGCATGCTGCTCCGTGACTTGTTCAGTGATAATAGCTATTGTGAGAATGTGATATTCCTCTTTGTTTATAGGCAACAGTGCCTCTGAAGTACAATCATATTGGCCAGATAATGACCAAAACCAAGCAAATACACTTTAACTCGATATTGTGCTCAGGATTTTCAAATAAATATTGATGAAGTTATTTGAGACAGAATGTGACTTCTCATGGCTTACGTTTAATAAAAGAAACATATGACAAAGCTTGTATTTTGCCTGTAATACCTACATTATATAAACAATCAAATGAGTTTGAGACATCAGAGCTTGGATGATGTTTATAAAAAAATATTTTACTTGAAATCTGACAAAATCATTATTCACAGCACTGACCAGACAACTGCAATCTTGAAGGCATCATCTGAACTGTTAGTAATGCATGATGATTCTCACTTTAGTTTTCAGAGGCATATGTGAAAAAAAATCCAAATTTAAATTCAGCTTTGCCTCCGAGTTGCTAGGAAACTAACTTTTCCAAACTCTCATTTCTATTTTCAGCAGAGACATCTTCAGTTTCCTCACTGAACATGTTCTAGTACTCAGTATAATCCTTACTTCACTATGCTCAGCTCATTAACACCTAAAGGAGACACAGTAACATCATTCAACATGATATAACATTCCTCGTTGATTTGTGATCAGTCCAGGTTGAACACAGTCTTTGTCAGTTTGAGCTTCATTGAGAGGTTTTAGCTAGCCGACTCAAACTCCTCCACCGGCTCCGTTAGTTTGGTTTATCCCTTCTCCAGAGCCGCTCTTCAGGCTGGGGGAAAACATGCCTCGGTACATCGCTTTCTCTTTTTGCAACTCTCGATTCAGTTTCTCCTCAACCCTCTGCAGCTGTTTCTTCACATTGGCATCTGAGACAGAAAAATGAAGAACTTTTATTTTTGAAAAGGCATACTTTTCTTTTATCACACAGGCTTGACTTTTTAATATATTTTTATGAAATATATCCACAAATATTGCAACAAAGCCAAATGTCCTACAGAGGAAATATCATGCATACACAACCTCACAAACACGTGACCTCCATGCCAAATGTTAGCCTCTTATGGCAAAACTGTGGCTATAACTAGCGAGCTTCCTAAAAGAGCTGCCACATTCTTGCTTTCATGAAAGAAAAAAATCTCTCCATGAAATAGAAATAGAGTGCAATTTGTTTTTTGCCAGTTCTGATTTATGAAGGCGTCACTATTTTATCTTGAAACCTATTACAGGATGTATTAAAAGTTCTAAAAGTGATGTTAATTAGTGATTTTTGTATGTGCAGGTGGACCGATTTGGTCATCTTAAGATAATGTAGATAACCTTGTTGTAAAGTCTCTTTTCTTACCATTAGGCTGCTCACTGCAGGCCTGGGTGAGGTACTGTTTGGCGGTGTGTGCATCCCCCATCTCCAGAGTGGCTACTCCTGCCCTGTACAGCGCTTTGACATCACCTGGTCGCCACTGCAGCACCCGCAGGCTGTAGTCTCTCACACGAGAATAGTCAACACTCTGTTTCTGCAGCAAACAGGCTGAAAGAGATATATTTATACATATATAATATTGTACACACTAGACCCAGCTGCCAATTTCCCTTCATCAGGCAATCAATGAAAAAGCTCTCTCCTAAAGGAAGTTGATTATTTGAAGCATAACTCAATTGAAGAGGGCATTTAAAATTAAAATGACTATTACCTAACCATGAAGATCTAGAGTCTACATGAGTGAGTAATATCAAGATTAGTTTTTTTAAAGAGCTACTACCTGAATGGAACAGATATATTTAACTACATTTTCCCAGCCCTGGATTTTGCTCAACTCTCATATAAAAGATGATCTACCAGCTAAATTGTTGTAGCAGTCCACTTGTGTATTTCTCAGTGAAGCTTCCTGTTCGGGTTCGAGAGGAGGGATCTCAGGTCCAAACCCTTTCACTGCTGCCATCACATCAGAGTCGAGGCCTCTGAGGACCAGCAGGGCTCGGTGATAACGCCCGATGGCTGAGCGAATGTTCTTCTCCCTGTAGAAAGTATTCCCTTCTGTTTTCATTTGGGCGGCCTCCTCAAGCAAAGTCCAGGTCGGCTTTGCAGGAGTCCGTTTTTGTCGAGATAAGGTTGGTTCTGATGCTGCCGCTGCTTCCTGCACATCCATACTCTCATCCCCCCCTCCAGCCTCCATTTCTGAAATGGACATAGTTGTGATTAATAAGTAAATTGGCAGTCAACTGTTTTTCAAAGTAGATTTACTAATCACAATGAGTAACTTGAAAAAAGTGAATCTGATCCAGAACAATAACGAAATGCATCTACAGAATCAGTTCTACACTGTGAGGTACTCCCATTTAAAATGTTGCATCGGAAAACGTTGTTCAATGTTTTCAGCAGTTTACCCAGGCTTAATGGAGAGGGGTGGGGTCGTTGTTAGGGATAAGAAATATAGGATTGTTTTCATGATTTCATGTCTAGAAGTAGATTGTGGTGCATTTAAATTATAGCGATGACAGTGAAAACAAATAAGTAGCTTGAAAATAAGCTGTCTAGCTTGCTATCATGGTAGAGAAGAGGAAATAAATACAGGACTTATTTAAAAAAGACCAGACTCACAATGTTGCTGTTAGTGTTTATTTGGAGGAGCGTTATGATTATGCTTGATTAATGCAGGAAGGCCATTTATCTAGTCTGATTTTCACTAAATACTCCATTAAAAAATATGGAATGCATGTTAACAACATGTAAGTAAGGTATAGTGATTTCAGTATGTTTAAGACGATCGAAGGCACTGCATTTTACAGTATACTGGACACCATTGACAGAGCTTTAATTCGAAAATCGAAACTATTTTAGCATGGATATTTGTGGAGGTTTCCATGTCGTCCCATGCCTATCGTTGCAACCCATTGTTGTACTAGCGTCATTCCCACGGTGCTAAGCGGCTGTCAACCTGCCTCTCAGGTAGGCTATGTTTCAAACTGAATAATACAATAGTTTCGTAGATATACTTATTGTACTAATTGTTTAATACCTCTGTTAACAGACTTACAGTAGGCTATACTACATAATATCAGCAGCCCGCGTAGGGACAGTCAAATACTGCATTATATTTTAATTACTGACACTTACTAAGCTAGTTACTTTTCTACTTTGTTTCGTTGCTAAGAAACATTAGCTAAAGGGGACATTTGTAACGAACGTTCTAATGTTCACATCGTTAACGGTTTGTAGCTACAGCTAACGAGCTAGCAAAGTTACCATGCCAACTAAACCTGCTCACACACTAGCTAACGCTCATTCAGTTCAAAGCGGGATGTCTGCACATTTAACTGGTTGGTTCATTTTATATTGGTGGAATATTTGCTCACCTTACAAGTCACTGAGAGGACAATAAACGCACAGCTACTTCTTACAGTTGACAACCATTCTGCTGCTGTAGAGTCGCTTCCTTGTTTTCTTAAGAAGTGGTCAAAACTTCAACTTCTTTAAGCGTTACTGCCACAGCAAGGCCGAACCAGGAATTACCGTTTACACACTTCAGATATACAGTATTTTAGCTACATTTATTAAATTAGGTGGGAAAAGTACTCAGATATTGTATTCAATCAAAGTAGGACCAGAATGTAGTAATGCTCTGTAAGTCCTGCAATCAAAATGTGACTCAAGTACAAGTAGAACATTGTTGGCATCAAATTACACCCTACCAAAAGTAAAAGTAGCCTACTCATTATGTAGATTGGCCCATTTCAGAATAATTTGTATCATATGTTTCGATCATAAATATTGATGCAATAATGTGTTTATCAAAGCTGGCAAAGGTACAGTTAGTTTTAATTATTTTGTATGCTGCCGGGTTTCTGAATGTTACTCCAGGTGTAACTAACGTTTTATTTAGCCTAAGTGTTGATTATATTTCACATCATTAATCAAAATCTGCAAAGGAACTAAAGATACGTGAAGTGGAGCAAAAGTACACAATTTTTATTGTAGTGGGGTAGAAGTAGGCTACTAAGTAGCAACACAATTAAATACTCCAGTAAAGTACAAGTCCCTCAAAATTGTACTACAAGTACAGTTCTTGAGTAAATGTACTTAGTTACTTGACATGTGTGATTTCAAAAGTTAAAGTTAGATGTATATGTTGAACACACCTTACTTGAAAACCTTATGTTAAGTTGAACAACTTTTCAATTTCCATTTACGGATGTATCAATCAGACATAGGCCTACTGTAGGTCTTACACCCAATTCATCTTGATTTTTTGATTAACCACATTGAATGTTTGACATGGATGGGACTCCTATTGATGATAGGTTGCTGGAAGTAACAAAACACACAATTTACTTACTTTAAACTGATTTAATTATAAGCATATTTTTAAATCTTTGGTCAAAGCGCCCAATATAGGCTATGGCATAAAAAAGAATGGTATACCGCGGGGCAAATATTTGCAGGCTACTTCAACAAACTCAAGAGATTTACAAGAGATTAATTATTACACCATTCTGTGGCAAAGATGATCATTTTACAAAGATTAAGTCTTTGATGTAAAAGAGGGGGAAAAAATAGCTATAGCATCATAAAACATTATAGAATTGCATTAAATCGTTTATTTTTCAATCTTGCAGATTTGTGGTCAACATTAATTCAGTGTCATCCTGAGATTTCTCCTCCTTGTCTGTCTTAGTGGTATCATTCATCGATAGCATTCGTTTCTTCTGTGGTTTGTGGGTTTTCACTTTAAATACGTCCCACCTATCAGGAATCAGTCCTTTATCGAAGAGCAGGGAAAATAGATAGGAGAACAACAAAGTGGCAAACATGTTGGACAACATGCAGATCGTCTGTACAGGAGAGCGCTGGACATATATGCCGTTTTCAAGAGTGGAACCTGGAAAGTGGAGAACAATGGGTAACCCAAATGACGGCTCGCCGCTCAGCACTCTTAACAAAAGTCCAACTAGCAAGCCAATAATGGAGCCGTATCCGTTGGAGATATTGAAGAAGAGGACGCAGGTGAGTTGAGGAAACATGAAAATGTAGGTTATGCTAGAGCCCAGGATCCACAAAACCATGATGCTGTTGTTTAGGAAGGTGAGCGCAGTGCCAGCCAAGCCCACCAACACCACAGTGGCCCGGATCACCCACTGGAGCTCCCTACCAGATGCCTGCAGGGAAAACATCCTAAAAGCTGAAACAGAAATAAACGAAGAAAGTGCACTCTCGAAAAAGAAGATGTACAGTATAGGCTAATCCACTGTGAAGTTGACAGCAAACAGGGATTTATTCCTCTAGAATCCTGCCTAACTTTGGTGAATATCAGTTTTTTGAGCTACAACAAAGGCCGAAAAATAAACTAACGATTGTTTTTAACCTAGCCAATACCTTTTACTACTGAAACATTTTTTGACCAAATATGGCTGCTACCAGCTAGTTAAGAATAGTGAGCATTCAGCAACCCTAGAGGTTAGGCTGAGTTGTCGAGTAATATTTGACACAAACAAATACATGCACAGCCACGACCAAACTCATCATCTGGCCTCCAGTGGAGATAACAACCACAACTCTATTCTTCCCCTCAGGTCTCCTCTTACCTTGGTCCTCAGGATGTTCTTATAGATGTTGGATGAGAAGATGGAGGCGGCTGATAACAGAGCGGAGTCCGTTGATGACATCACGGCAGCTGCTATAGCTCCGATGCCGATGATGGAGATGTAGTTTGGGGTGAGGTGCTGCAGAGCAATGGGCAGAATCAGACCGGCCTCCCCTCGCTCGTATGGGGACGGGGAGCCGTACAAGGTAGAGTTCCAGTCTGACACCAAAAATGTGACATAAATTACCATAGTCTCTCTCTTATATTTAAAGTGGCAAAAGATGACAGTTTGCTTCAACTTATCATTATGGAGTACATGTTGATTATACAATTTAAACGCCTGCTGGTGAATAATGACTCTGTCTGACTAGATTGGTTCCCTGTAGGCCTTGCACTTAAAGGCCCGGACACACCAAGCCGATTTCGGCCGTCGATAGATCTCTAGCCGTCGATGAGCGTCCGGTCGCCCATACTCAGATTGGTGTGTCCCGCACGTCCCGCACCGTCGTGTCTTTTCGGCCATGCCGACACCTTCCGCTCCCGATTGAACATGTTGAATCGGGAGCGGAGGCTGTCGGCAAAATAAATCACTCTGATTGGCTGTTCAGCTAAGCGAATCGGTGCATGAGAAGCGATACAGAAGTGAGGTACGCAAACAAACGATTAGGCACACACGGACGGCTATTATTTTTCATTTTCATCTCACCTGTACGCAAGAATTTATTTTACATCATGACGATCTGGAATGAAGAAACCGAAGACCAACTCATCAGCTTGATTCAGGAGAGGCCAGCTCTGTACGACATTACAGAGAAACGTACTAACATGCTAACTAGCCACAATGCTTAAATAGTTTATGTGTGTGCTTCAGAGAAAGAGCTAAAGAAGAAGTGGGATTCTCTGCGAACCCAGTAGGCCTACACCCGGTACAGGAGACTTGCCCCTCCGGGTAGTTCTGGAGCACTAAAGACTGGCAGACAGCAGTGGATCCTGACCAGGCTGCAGTTTTTAGAGCCCTACACAAGAAGGAAGGAGAGTACTTCAAACCTCACCATCACGGTAACTATTTTATTTGTTGCCGTAGGTCAGGGTCTTATGTCCCATGAGCTTGTCGCTGTCGTATCCATGATTTCACCCATTTAGTGCGGTTTCTCCTAATTGTTCGCTTCCGCCTCTTGCTATCTGCTTCCACAAGCAACAGTCCAAGGGCTGATACCACCAGTACGGCACAAACCATGTTTTCGATTATAAGTCGCTATGTGAAACAGTCTGTGAAACAGTCTGTAATGGACGAAAGTGAAAATGGAACGCACACGGTATTTGTTATATAATGCAGTCTGTCTTCCGGTTGCCTCTTTTGAATGACGAATACACACTACCGCCGCTGCTGGTAAGGAGAGTTATTGCCACTCACGTTCTACTTGGCCGTCGGCTGAAGTCTTTGCGGTGTGTTCCAGTGCGACTTTTTGGCCAAGACGCAGGACAGGAGACGTGAGGCGACACAACAGTCGGGTCCGTCGGGACCATAGACTGTATAGGCTATATAAAGGTCAGGACGAGTTCTTTGATGTCAGTTCGGTGTGTCCGGACCTGAAATGCATTTCTGTATGCTCCCCTGCGATCGGACTTTCACAATAAAAGCCCTAAACAAACACACTGCAGCACTGACTACCAGAGAGCATTTTGCTCAAAGGGAACTCAACAAATGGTTTCCTTCTCAACAAAATTGCTCACACTAACCCAGTAGCTACTTTACTCACTTTACCCAGTGAAGTTAAAGGACATATGGAGTAACTTTATATCCAGCAAAGCAGACTTTGATGGAGGAGGCAAAGAATACAGAGAGAGAAAGTTATTAAAGAAGAATGTTTTACTAGACCTGCCTATTACCTTAATGCCTAATTATTACCAGCAGGGGTTCACTCTGCCTTTATTATATCACTGAGATTGGGATTGTAGTTCTTTGAGATTTGTGCAGTTGTTTATTGCTTTGGACAGTAAAGTAAGCCAATCTAAGTATGTCCTGTGTTTGTTGGTAGCTCTGAGGAAACAAGAAAGAGATCTGTTTCCACTTTCATTGTATGGCTCTACCTGTTGATGCTGCGACTGCTCCAATCAGAAGGGATGGGATTCCTAGAACAAAGATTAGTGGAGCTGCAATGAAGCAGGTGATCCTGGCTGTGGTTGAAGAGGCAGCTGACAGTGTCCTCTGGTGGAAGCTCTGATATCCAAGGTTACCGAAAGCCTTAGGAAACCCCCCCAAAAAAACATTATTACATTCTGAACATGACCACAAGGGAAAATAAGTCATATGTGTCATGGGGGGGGGGGGGGGGGCAATAGCCTATAGGCAAAACACAGAAGATCAACAAAAGATATGACATAAAATGAATTTACCAAAGCTGCAGTAGATGGTCCACTTCATTCATTATCTTTCCGTTTTACTGATTTAAATCGCTATACGCTGCTCTCTCTCGTCTCCCGCACACATTGAATAGAAAAATACTCTGAGCATGCGCAGTGTAGTTTTTACAGCACCCATTCATTTTGACAGCAGAGAGAGGGGCTTGCCCCACATGGCTCTACACGGCTCAATAGACACACTGTGCACACTAATTGGAAGAACGCAGACTAAAACAGCAATGTAGAGACGAATCAGATGACTAAACATGATCTTAAAATATATTTTAACATTTGTTTTTGCATATTTTTGGAATTATTATTTGCATTACTTTCTGCTGACACTAGGTGGGGCTGTCCCTAATGACGAGTCGCCACTGCTTCTTTCTACTGTATGTCTGATAAACTGGACTAATTATCATTTAAAATCTCAAGACAAGCGGTGGGCAAGAAAACAATGCTTTTAGACAACCTAGTTATATTATAAACACTACAGTATCTTTGGGATAAAATCAGTGATTAGTGAAAAAAGTTCATTTACTACTACCATGTTAAAACAGATGTCGCCCTGATATGTGTATATTCTACAGTAGTCTCGTTAATCCATCCATCTTTCCAACACTCATTCTACTATTGACACTTTTCTATATGTCAAAATGTATTCCTTACCAATAATAGGAAATTATCAATCCACCTCCACGCTCTGTCTTTATCCACTGAACCAATCCAGGGGGCCTGGTAGGTGAAGTTGAAAGCAGTCTTGGTGATGTCAGTTGAATGGGGACTCATCAGGATAAATGGGACACATAGCCACTGCAGAAAAAGAAAATAAGCCACCGATTTAAAAATGTTAAACGTGCATATTCCCTTAATAAAGTGAGGTGGCATGATCGTTGTTTATTCCCTGTAGATTAAAATACTGTGGTGCACTTTTTGATGCACTGACAAAAAAGGGTTAAAAAAACTCCAGTTTGTTAAGAATGATTTCTGCCAGAATATAAACTTAAACCTAAATATTTGCACACATCACCTTATTTTAAATCTCTTAACTGGCTCCCAGTTAAACAAAATATTGGATTTTAAAACCCTTTAACTGCCAGCATCACCATTTGGTAGAGCACATTTGCGTCTTGATATCTTGTTGAAAAAAGAAAAAGAAAAGTTGAACTCCATCTGATTCAGCCAGCTCTACCCTTTGGTTGACATGTTATGCACAAAACAACCTCTAGATGTCACTGTGGTTCAAACAGAATGCCCTTCAGCTAGCTTCAACTGAGAAAGTTGGCAATGCTAAAAATCACTGCTGAAGAAATCACTCTTTTTGCTAAACTTTTGTAAGGTAACCATATCCTTTTTGACATATTTTAGTGGCAGGGCACTGACTGAACATAATTAGATAACTTGATGGCATGCACAAAAAAAGTTTCAACAAGGGTGCAATTATTTTTTGGAAAATATGCTCAACCAATCGGTCGAATTGGCCTTTTATGGTAAGCTAGCAATATGACTTTTTCAGAGTTTCAGAGATGTTTTCCAATACAATATGGTAAATAAATGGCTAGATTCATGGTAATATTACTAAATCTAGTACTGCCTTATGAGTCTCAGAGTGAAAGAGTGATAATAATTGATATAGCACCTTTCATGCATGGCATTCAGCCCAAAATTGCACACAGATGAGCAAGTTAGGCCAACACAGGATATAGACATTTGCTGTTAGGCCAGTGGTTTCCTGTTAGGCCAATTCAGCATATACAGTAAGATGAGCAAGTATTTTTTTTATCATGAAAAACACTTTACATAACTTTTTTCCATTTTTTTTTTTTACAATTATAATTTATTATCTTTTATGAATATATCTGGTTGTATATATTGCTAATTTTACATAAAAGAAACAAATGTATTTGAGTTTGTGCTTTATTTGAGTTTGATGCATACAAATACTGTACTGTATATGATGATTGTTGAAAATGTACTTTTATCATAGAAGGCCAGCTCGACCATTTGGTAGAGGCTCATAAAAACAAAACTGTGTGGTCAGTCAAAAAAACGTGTTTTAATTTTTCCATAGCTTTTTTCTTGGTCCGGCAGTTAAAGGGTTAAGATGCTTTAAAAAATGAATTTTATTACCTTTTTTATTGTCATACCTTTTCATCTTACATGTTCTTATCTTGTTTGTGTCATGTAAGATCTTTCTATTGGTCTTTGTTTTTTATTTTGAAGCATATTGGATTTAATTCCCTAACCATTCTTAAGAATCCATTTCGATTTGGGATTTGTTCTTATGTTATCACAGTCCAAGCCAAGTCCCTACGGACTGAGGTACTGCTGCCCTTATAATGCCAGCAACAGAGCCATCTTTAATCTTTGAAAGTATTTCAAATAACTTTCTATTCAAGCGAAGAACTCACTAAACTGAAGAATATGAGGGTAAGCTGTATGATGTCTGTGTAGGCTACAGAGTAGAGGCCTCCCAGCAGTGTGTAAATGATGGCTACTGCGGCAGAGATCCAAATGCAAACGTTATAGTCCAAATCGAGGACCGCACTCATTGTTGCACCTATAAAAATAAACACAATTACATACAGCAGACTCTTCTATCCTACAGTATGGGAACACATTGTATTTTTTGCAAAATGGGACTTTTAATGTAAATTGTTTGACTTACCTAAGCCAATAAGAGTTCCCGCAACCCATATTATGTCGGATATGAGCAGCGTAATAGTCAAAAGTCCACTTATTACATTTCCATACTTGATCTGGAACGGGTCCATCATTGTCACATATTGTTTGTCTCTCATCGGCTTGGCAAAGAAAAGTCCACCTTAACGTTGAACCACAAAAGAGAAACAGATCTGTGTCATTTGTTCTTAACTGATTTACCATTGCATTTTTCTAAAATTCATGTCCCAATTATCTTGGCCAAAATAATTGCGATCATATTATCCTGATAATCATCAAACTATGCTTAAAACTCTTAAAATGTCTCTAAATATGCTGAAATCACTTTACTATGCATTTTGTTTAGATCAATACATCCCAGAAAGGCAGCTTTTTCTTTAGTGAAAAAAAAACAATCAAAAAAATTCACAAGGTGATGTAAAACACAGGGTTAATATAAGAATGTTTGTGTGGCATACAGAGCCATCAGTGGGTTGATATACCTACATTATTAGTAATTACATGGTTAACATGATTTGTATTTAGTACAGCTCATGTTCAGAGTGTGGTGAGAATTGTCTGTGTGTTTTCTGATAAGGAATGGTTGGTTTATTGTTTGAAAAATGTAGGTCTTGAGGATAGGAGTCGAGGAGGGGAGTTAGAGAAATGAGAAAGTGTGTGTGTGTGTGTGTGTGTGTGTGTGTGTGTGGGTGGGTGTGTGCGTGTGTGTGGCGAACTGTGATAATAAGATACATATTTTTGCTCTTTGCAGGTAAGAACGGAGAGTTGGAATTGTGTAATTGATGAGTGATTATGTTATGTGTGAGTTTTTGATCCCGGTTGGACTTTATGTAGTAGTGTTTATGAACGTTACTTGTTCAGCAAACGTAACGTATTGAAAATGGCTAGCCAGTAGTTAGCACTGGTGGTGGTCTAAAGAGCCCGGACTGCTCGTGTATAGTTAATAGATAAATAAATAAATAAGTTAAAAGAGATACATAATTGATTTGGTCAATGTGACAATATTCGGTAGACATGATTATTGTTTGGATGTTGATGCAGATGTTCATTATGTTTCTGTGTTAGGATAGTGAATACGTTCAGAGAACGTAAACACACACTTGAGTAAAGTCACGGTGTGTGTGTGTGTGTGTGTGTGTGTGTGTGGCGAACTGTGATAATAAGATACATATTTTTGCTCTTTGCAGAACAAAATAAAAGACTTTCAAATTAAATGTGTAGTGGAGGGCTACTTCACTCTGTACCACGCTACATTTGGACAAATCGAGAACATTGGTAATTGGACAATTATCTGTATTCTTGAGAGGCAGGTCAACGATAATATTTTCAGTCCTGTTTGTCATTATTTGCCACTCCCAATGTTCTCAAGTGTGAGCCGGAAATGCTTGCTTGAGTTGTGGTACTGGCTTGAGGGTATATTGCTTCACCCTCTAAAGGGGATGACAGCTCTCTTTATTCAAATGTGTTCACCGGACTGCCTAACTGAATGTGCCCAATGACTTGGTCTCTACCATCTCTGGTGAGTCTGCCATCCAGGCTTTTTTTTTTACACCTTTTTCACTACAGGGTTAGTTGATGGCCATGCCTTGAACTGGTTCATTGAAAAAATTGAAACTTCTCCAACAACATGGGAACAATTGTTTTCTTCCACAGCTAGCGTTTCCTGCGGTGTTTCACAACATCACATTTGCGACCCCATTTGGTTCTCTGTGCATGCTTCCTTAGGCCAAATCATTTATACATTTCCTCCCACTGTAATGCCGATGACACACAGCTTTTTCTCTCCCAGAAACAAAAAGACTGTTGCAATTTTATGATTGTTATTATCTGCTTTGAACACATAGTGTTAGATAGTATACACAGCTGAATAAAAGCAAGTTTGTCCTATTTGTCACTATGGGTCCTACAAAGCAATTACCAACAGTCTTAGCAACTTGTCAATCCTTTTCAAAGCCCACGTAATAAACCATGGTGTGATAATTGACTCCATCCTTTCAGTTTGAGAAGCAGGCAACGTAATGCAAAGTTACAACATCTCTTGGTTTGCCTGTATTGTTCGTTACATGTACTAGGACAAGCTGCAGTAAATCTTCAACGTAAGACATCAACTCGGTCTTTGGTTTCTAGTACTTTGATATTATTGACAAATGGCTCCCAATGCGTTTCAGAATACATTTTAAGCTTTTCCTGTTTGTGTAAAAAGGGCCCCTCCTGTTTTGAAGACCTCCTAACACCTGGTCACACGTCAGCAGCGGTTTGTATAGCAATATGGTCAATGCGGGTTGACTTCATGTGACTTATTGCCATTTCTATGTCTTACCAATAATGAAAGAGAGGGCTGCTGTTACTGGTATGACAGCCCAGGTCAGTCCCATGGTTGGAGTGTACACTGCCTCTGTCAGCCCGACGATAAAGCCCCCTCCAACAAATGTAGCTGTAGGAAATCACATAAATACGGTGGCCTACTAGTACAAATGTGCTACAACAGCCTAAACACTTAAATCACGGTGCACTTTCAAAAACGATGTAAATATATAACACAAATGTGCCAAAACACATGTAAATGAAGAAACAATCTTCACCAACTTCACAACACATGCAATTTTAATTTTGAATTTGAACATGCGCAGGGTTTGCTAAAAGCGCTGATTAAACTAAATGCAAAAAACACAGCAAGAAACTAAAAACGTGCTGATGTTTGGGGATTACGAACTTGGCCAAATCTCTCGCAGAGTTAAGCCTCATCCCAATACCCCTCCTCGACTCCTCTCTTCCCCTCCTCCGGGACTTGACCCGGAAATCGATCAAGACACTCCATTTTGAAGGACGTCCCAATAGCTGAAATGCACACGGAGGAGTCGAGGAGGGGTGAGGGAGGAGGGGTGCGTATAAAAGCCCCGCCCCCACCTTCACAGCTGGTCTATTTCAACAGAGGAAAACCGACAACTGGAAGATGAGTGGAAAAGCGTCACATAAATGCATAAGTGCTCACAGCTCCGTGGGAATTATTATGTGCAATTCATTTCTAAAAGGCTTCACATTACCATAATTATATTTTTATTTAAATGTAGGCTACATTTTACACCAACACGGAACACAAAAGCAGGACCAACCATCATACATTGAATTCCTTGACTAACAAGAGAAAGATTCATTCATTTCAATAAATATTTAACCAGAAATGGTCCGGTTCTAAGGGGTTATTCAGTTAAGTCCGATGAGAGGGGCTGTGCGCATGTCATCATTAACAGACGTCGTTTAAGAGTGACGTTTGAGTGAACGAGGACGTCCCAATTAATACCTGAGGACTCCTCTGTCCTCGCGTCACCTCCTCGTGTCTCTCGCTCGCATTTTACGGAGGCAGAGCTAAGATGCAAGGAAGGGACGCGAGCAGAGTTGGGTGTAATAATATTACTTTTGTCGGTAACGGATTGGTGTAACGCGCTACTTTTATAATTCAGTAATCACACTACAGTTACTAATATTGCCCCGACACGCGTTACTTTGTTACTTACTAAAATCAGTCATAATCAAACTGACAGACGAGAGGGGTTTCCGCCGCAGGTTTATATGTAGTAATCTGCGCGATTTGCGCGTCCACATCTCCACGTGCAGTGCTGCATAAACATGGCTGAGTCAGCGATAACTTTCGAGGGGTGGAGGTACGCCCATTATTTTGAGTTCGTCCGAAGAATAGACAGGAATGTGACGGTGAGGTGCAAACTGTGTCCAGGCCAGAAGCTGTTATCCACTGCTGGAAACACCACGTCAAACCTCAACAAACACCTGCAAAGAACACATGCTAAGGTGAAGCTACAGCACACGCTATTTGTTGTTTGTTTATAGAGAGGCGAAGTCCCTCCCCTTCCGAAAGCCTCCATGGGACCCCGGAAGCGGGAAATTATACATTGAAGTCAATGGAGAGAGAAAGGTTATCTTTTGATCCCGTTTGAATTGTGCCACGAATGACACATATGATGTTTGTCAATTTAAAAGAACATTTTGCAAGTCAAAAAAATAAAAATGTGTGGTAAAACTGTGAAGTTACAAATTTTTTCGTGTGAAACCGCTCAGTGAACTACAGGTCTCTCGTCTCGCACAATACGCGTCACCAACATAAAGATGGCCGTCACGTTAGCACATTTCACCACATTCTTTCAGAATGAGAATACAAGTATTTTACGAGGTGAAAATCACTACAAGTCTGGGCACGTTGAGAACTGTACCTATATGAAAGGGGAGTTAGTCGGTTCTGTAAGAGCCAGCATGCGGGACCGGCTTTACAAGGTTTCGGTGAGTAATATGAGTGCAATGTGTAACGTTAATGTCAGCTAGCTAACATTAGCTAACAAGGTACACTAACGTGTTTTGTTTTAGCAACTAGTTTTCTCCTTAAGAACTTCGTGGTCTCTGTGTATGCTGTGGATAACATTAGTGTTCACAAGAACAAGGTACACTCCCGTGTTTTGTTTTAGTTGCTCTTCAGATTGAAGCGGGCAGTTTTATATCGACTATACTGTATGTGTGATCTCCTTTGTGTCATTTGAGTTTATTTGCTGTGTGTAGATTCAAGGATTTTGGTTATCTTGTCAATTTGTTTGGTTATCTAGGCACAGCTGTGTGTGACTCCCTCTCTTACGTGTTTTCCTAATGTAGAGAGCATTGATTAATTAATAAACTACACACTGAGTCTAGATCCTGATCAAATCCTTTTTTTTTGTTGATCAAATGTTTTTCAAAATGTATTCATACACATTTAAAAAAATTAGGGCTGTCAGTCAATTAAAAATATTTAATCGCGATTAATCGCATGATTGTCCATAGTTAATCTCGATTAATCGGAAATTAATCGCACATTTTGTATCTGTTCTAAATGTACCTTAGAGGAATATTTGTCACGTTTTTAATACTCTTATCAACATATGAGTGGACAAATATGCTTTATGCAAATGTTTATTATCATCTGAACAATGACAAATATTCTCATGAATATTAAACACAACAACCTCATAGGTAATACAGAAAAATCAAACAATAACAACAATCAGACAAATATATGGAAAAATAAACCCTCCCACCCCCAGATCCTGACCATCCTTGTATTGCTCATTCAATCTATTATAGCATGCTAACAAATGGTACTTACTTTATTTTTACAGATCTGCATGGGAGACGATGGCGCGATGCAGAGCGCTGTCTGTGATTGTGCACAGGAGATGTACAAATGCAGCCACGCTGCAGCATTGGCAATATTTGCCATGTGGCAGATCAGCTCCACAGATGTTGAGTGCCAGTGGAGGATGCCTGGCACTTCCAAAGTAGTCCACCCGGTGTCTCAACTCTATCAACAGCAAGAGGAGACATACAACCCACTGGCCAGAGACATCGCCACTCAGGATGTAGACTGGTTCAGGTCTGCACTGAGGGGCACACAGTGTGGCATGGCATGGCTTTTATCACCTGAGCCAGAGCCGCAGCCTCAACATCAGGCCATTGTCACCGTGCCGGAGCTGGTGAAGGAGCATGGGGGTCGGGGGCTTGAGGCAATTCTTGCCTCAATGCGACTGACAAGAGACCGTAGGACAGCGGACAAATCCCCAGTGGCAGTTACACAGACAGGACAGGTTGACAGCCAGCAATTTTGGTGCTGTGCTTAGGTCGGGACTTTCATCCACTCCATGCGCGTCCCTCATGAAGAGGGTGCTTGGGGGTTACAATTTAGACGGAGTCATGGCTGTCAACTGGGGAGTTGTAAATGAGGCCGAAGGGGTGAAGGCTTTTGTGCAGGCCTATCGGGTGACAGTGATCGACGCTGGTCTCTTTGTGAGTGAGTCGGGTGTTTTGGGAGCATCACCCGATGGACTTGTGCAGCCATCTGCCCTGCTGGAGGTGAAGTGTCCACACAGCCAGAGGAACATGACCATCGCGGAGGCAGTCCAGTTACCATCCTTCTGTCTCCGTGAGGAGGGTGGGTCTTATGTTCTCAAGGAGAATCACCCATACTGGCACCAGGTCCAAGGGCAGCTGCACATCACAGACCGGAGTATCTGCTATTTTGTTGTGTGGACCACGAAGGAGGCGATCATCATCCCCATCAACAAAGACCCTGCATGGCATGGAAATCGCCTCCTCCTGGAGAACACTACACTCAGCATATGCTCCCTGTGTTGGCCAGTAGAGAGGAGGACATATAAATAAACACACACACACACACACACACACACACGATATGTAACTAATAAACAATAAATCCCATGTTGTTGAAAAAGTAATAATGCTGCATGTGTACGTTTTTGTTCAAATATAGCAAGTGTTATCGTGTTATGTGTTCCTGATATCGTGCAGCCCTAATATTAAGGCCTTATTGTCACATGCACAATAACTACAGTGCAGTTTTGGGCAATAAACATGTTAAGTCTCAGGCCCCTCTAAAATAAAGGATATTTAAGACATATAAATAAAGAATTACTTTTACTTAACTACTACATAACTGTATTACATGGTTATATAAATAGTTTGAATGATTCATGACTGACAGAAGCTTGTTTTTACACTGACCTGTTATACTCATATCTTTGTAACTTCAGTAAACCTCAACAATTCCCCTTCTGGTTTCATGCATCACAGTTCAGTAAACTGAGTAAAATATGAACCAGTGTAATCATTATAATAACTTAGGATTGTAACTCTTTAGAAAAGGTGTAGGTGGCTCTTAAAAGAGCCGTTGTGTGACTTTGGGCTGGTCTCAGCGGATGCAGCGGGCCAGCTGGATGTTCCCCCCGGGGATCGCAGGCTGAAAGGTTTGGGAACCCCTGCCTTAGTCAACGGTGAGGGTGCTGGCTACTTCCTTTATCAGGGGATTTTGCAGGTTCACCAAGGCACAGCAAAGCTTTACCAGCACATCTGCAGTGTTCCTGAGGTGGCAAGGAATCAGGTCCAGAATCCTGAACTCCTTTATTCTGGCATTTGCCCTCTCCACATGGACCCTGTTCTTGGCTATTTCCCTGGTAGCTCTCACCTCACTCTCTGTGAACTTACCCTTGTTCAGGAAAGGGGGAATGTTCACAATCACACCCGCAGGCACAATATCAGATATTAAGAAGCCCTTGTCTGCCAGGATAAGGTCGCCAGCCACTAAATGTTCCAGAATGCCTGAATGCTGCATAATGGCCTTATCAGACACAGAGCCCGGGAAGAGTTGGCTGCAGAAGTTGATGACTCCATTTGGGGCCACAGAGATGAGCACTTTGAAGGAGTGCATCCCTCTGTAGGTGGAGTATGTCAGCTTGGCTTGGTCCATCTGACTTGGGGCGGCCACGTGGATGTCGGTGCAGTCGACAATCATTCTGCAGTTGAAGGCAGAGGACTGGAAAGCAGCAGGCATGCTGTTTTGTTTTTTTTGCCTACTGGGCACAGTGGACATCATTTTTTTGAACAGCAACCTGTGGAGCAGATGGACCATGGTGTTCACCACATTACCCACTGTTGCGGTACTGCAGTGGAACAGCTGTGCAAGGTGCAGGTGAGGATAATTCTGCCGGATCTTCATCATGGCCATGAAGACCTGATCTGCCAGCAGGATGCCCTCCACTTTCCATCCAGCGAAATAGACAATGGAGCCCTCAAAGCGCTCCACCAACCCCGCCACCCTTTTAAACATGGCCTGATCAGGAAGCCCTGTTTCCATACGGATTACATCATCAGGTAAGCCTGCTGCTGAATATTTGGCCATTCGCATCCAAGTATCCCCTGCCAGGTCTGCGGAACAACTGGACTGCACACTGGAGGGTCCAGGTTCGGTGTCTGCGGACTGCACGTTGGAGAATTTGGGGTCAGTTTCTGCAGACTCTGGCCCTTTGCTGTAGCTGTGGTCGCTGGACTGATTAACCGCTAAGCTCCCTTTCTCTTTGGTCCACTCAAATACAGTTGGCCCTTTCTCTTTTCCATGAGGAAAATGGCAGCTGCATATTCGGCTTTTCTCATCTGGCTCCCTGTCTGCTCGTCTACAATGAGAAAATTATATAATTCATTACTAACAATCATTTAAACCTGCCAAATAGCCTCCCTACCCATAGTTTAAACAGTCTGCACTCTTGTATTTATATTGTGAAGCACTTGTAACATTCAGCTTGTATGTGTTTTAGTTTAACCCTAAGTAAGACAGAGCTCTTAAGGCCAAACAGTGTGTTTGGCCTTTTAAGTGTGACACATATGTAGGGATAAATGCTTCACCTGACCACTGTTACTAAATAAAAAAGGTTTTCTGCATCGTCCGTCATTTTTTCCAAATAATTACCAATATTTCACAAATTCTTCATGTCAATTTAAGAGCACAGCTGTATGTTGACTATGTCAACTTTGCTTGGTTCATCTTACTGGGGGGCAGCTACATGGATGTCGGTGCAGTCCACAATCATTTTGCAGTTGAAGGCAGAATTAATTTATTATTGACTCAGAATGAAGCACAACTTCATGTCATACAATACATTGACTTCATTTGTAATTGTGTAAAAAAATAAAGCATTGATTAGCAAGCAGGACCTGCAGGAACAGAGAACGGTGATGGGTGGAGCTGGGAAGAGAGAAGAATAAAGAAAACAGATCAACTTTATTATCGGATATTAAAAATTCAATTTTCAAAACAAGTTGCCGCTCCTACAGTTTTCTAGTATGTAAAGATGATTTCACATGACCTATGCAAAATATCACACTCAATACATGTGTGTCTCTGGGGGGTGCAATGTGCCTTTGATATATATAAATAATATACCATAACCAAATACGTACAGTGGAAATCAGGTTGCCAGGTCAGTCCAGTGTGCATGTTCCTCAACGTCTCAGCAGTTACAGGTGAGGTAAATAAAATAAAAGAGAAAAAGGTCAGTAACAACACTTGAAAGTAACAACACTTTGAATAATTATCTCTTCTAATAATTTTCTCTCAGTAAGCACACAACGACTGTCTTTCCAACAAACAGATTGACTCACCCTTACTATCATCACAATGAAACACGTCCAGAAGAATGTCATGCAAAGCTCCCTGCCTGCCTTCGACTCTCCCTGACTGCTTCCTTAGCACCCGGTGGATGGCGCAGTAGGCTACGCTTCAAATGTTTCACGAAATACTTACCATCATGACTACTCTTACTGTTTAAAATGTTGGTTTACTTCATGTAATAAAATAATAACTTCATGGTAAGGCTACTAAAAATGACAAGGCTAAGTAAAGTAATGCTAACTAACGTGCTCGCTACTCGTCGCTACTAGCTAGGTAGCTAACTTGACTATGTTCCATGCACAACATGTATATTACCTATGATATTACCTGATATGTCTGATCCAGCGACTCCTGGTCCTTTCATCAGACGGGAATCGATAGAAGGAGCAAGTGGTATGATCACTTTTATGACTACAACCTGGTACAAAGCACACAGGCATCTTGTAAAAGTGAATTTATTTTTAGCGATCTATAATTTATTGAAGGGAATAAATCAGTTATGAGATCTTCTTCTTCTTCGCTTTAATTACGAGTCTTATTATAAATCACCGAGCATGCCTGTGACATCACTTACGCGACCCAGAATGGGATTTGGGATTTGTAGTCTTTGTAGTAGCGTATTTTTCATAGTCTTATATTTCAGCAGTTTTACGACAAAATGTGACTTTTTTGACATGGAAATGATTGTTTAAGATTGACAAACATCATATGTGTAGTTCGTGGCACAATTCAAACGGGATCAAAAGATACGTGTTCTCTCTCCATTGAATTCAATGTACATTTTTCGCTTCCGGGGTCCCATGGTCCGGAAGTAGATGGGCGTGACTTCGCCTCTCACGCAGTCTGTTCTTCTTCTCTGTCTTCCGGTTGTTGCCTGTTTTGAATGACAAATACACACTACCGCCGCCTGCTGGTAAGGAGAGTTATTGCCACTCACGCATGCGCAGTTCATACGTGCTCGGCGAGTAAAGTAACGAGTAAAGTAACGAGTTACTTTATGTAGCGAGTAACGAAGTAGTGTAATATATAACTTTTTTTAAAGTAATATGTAATATGTAATATATTACATTTTTTTAGTAACGACCCCATCTCTGGACGCGAGTGAGGGAAAGGAGGAGTCAAGGAGGGGTATTGGGATGAAGCTCATGTCTGTTTCATAATTGTCAGTACATTTTAAATGATAGGTTATCTAGGTAACTCAGCAGATCTGCAATCATTTCAGAAGGAATCATATATTCACAAAACCTACATTTTAGGTAAGTTTCCAGTTGCAGTTGGCCAACTTTATTATCCCCGAAATAAGCACTCCAGTCAGCTGTGGACAATCACTTTTTAGTGTACCTGTTTCTGTTGTGTTTTGAGCTTTTAGCAGTGTTTTTTCTTTGCAGCATTTTGGATTTGCAGCCTTTATTTGCCTGTTTCGTTACATTGGGGAATGTTTTCTAAATACTGCGCATGTGTTGTCAAATTTGTGTAGATATTTGCATGTATTTTGTCACATTTGTGTTTTAATATTTGCATCAATTTTTAAGTGCAGCACGTTTCTCTTACTGGGATTGTTTTGGGCCGTTGTAACGCGTGTCCGTCAGCCACCGTACATGAACGAGTAAAGATTGTCTTACAGAATACTATTCCATTTAACAATGTAAAGTTTCAAACATTGTTTTTATTGGTCCACATATTATTAACTTGCATCAGAAAGAGTAATCTAATGTGTTCAAACAATATAATCAATATGTACCATTAAATACATTTAAAAAAAGGAACCATAACGGGATCACTGCGAATATAATAATCCTAACACTATCAAACAGTGCACTGGTTTTCAACAGTGAACAACAGTCTCAATAATCGACATGATCACCTGTGCATTCTAGTAATAGACTGCAGTTTAATGAGCTACAACACGTTATTCTGGGGGCTTTCCAAGCAGCTTTATAAATACAGTCATACATTTGGCAACTACCATTATAGTCACAGGTTTAAAACGCAATGATGGAATGTATCTGAGTATCTTTACAAAAGTACTGTACTTAGGTTCATTATTGAGTACTGTACCTTACTTATGTATTTCCATTTTCTGCTACTTTATATTTGTATTTGTAACCCCCCACACTCACCTGTCATGGTGAAGATTCCCACCACCAGGCTGATCCCTCTGTTCCCCAGCAGAGTGACATCTGTAATGTCCGCCTGGCTGCTCTTCTTCAGTCGATTGGACTTCATGGAGGCCCAAATGCCGGTGCCCAGCACCAGCAGGTAGAAGAGCACCATCACCACGAGTCCTGCGATGTTTAGACTCATCGTGCACGACTGAGGGATTGAATGAAGAACTGTTGCTCCAACCGACCCCTTCAAACTCACTGACTGTGTGTCCAAACAAGCTGAAATTAATTCCAGTTATAGCAGGGGTGATAAACTCCTCTTTGTTGGCCACATCAGCTTTATGGCTGTCCTCAACTGGACAGTGGTAACATAGGAAAAAGGTAACACAATCACTGAAGCCAAGTGTTCAAAAATAATATTGCATGATAAATCAAAACAAAATACGGTATTATAATATGCCAACAATAAACATTGCTGTTTCAAAGCACCAGTGCTCTCTCTATGGTCAGATAGTCTTTGTCTATGTCCAACTCCTGTATGGATTTCAGATCATCATTCCCATTGAAAGTGTGTTTAACTGAGTCCGTCATCGATTATTATCCTCCATTTTTTTCAAGACAGTGGAACGTTCAGCAATGGATTTTGCTTGATTAATTTCATTGTATTTAATTTGTATTGTCCTTTCACTTCATTAGCTCTTTCAGTCTAACCATTGACCTAGCTTGTTTGCATTTTAAGAAGCTTGTTTTCTGACAGTCTTCAATGAACAATCCCCAGCCTTTGGCAGTGTGTTTGTAATTTCTTTGAACTTTCCAGAGGGGCAACTGGAAGTGTAAAGAATGTGTGAAACCAAAATTCAAATGTTTACTGCAAACTCGGACAAGAAGTAACGGCTTGATCAATGTAACCTACAGTAATAAACCGTATTTATTTCATCTTACTGTTCAATATTTAATTTTGTATCATATTCTATTTACGTTTATACAGACATCTTGCAATATTCTTTTATTTGTATTTTATTTTTGAATGAGTTTTATTGTTTATGTCTTATATAACTGTTGCATTGTTGGAGGGGCTAGGGACATAAGATTTGCATTGCCATTTTTACACTGTAGTAGTTTATGTGCATATGAAATTAAAACCTTTCGATCTTGAATCTTGAATTTCTAAACCCTTTCATTTTGCCAGAATAATGCACTTGAACGCATCAAAGCTTTGTGATTGGCCGGCTAGACCCTATGTGTCGGGGCGTGGCTGGTCGGCAGTGGGCACTATTTCGCTGACGTTGTCCGTGTCAACAACAGGAGTGACAGTCCGCACACACACATGACCGCAATTATGGCAGAAGCAAAAAAGCCCAAAATATATAATTTTCACTCCGAGTGGGAGGATGATTATTTTTGTATCTATTCCAATTCAAAGTCCATCTGTCTCATCTGCAATGCGAGCGTGGCTTTATCGAAGAAGAGTAATTTAGGAGCGGCATTTCAAAACAGTGCACAAACGCTACGAGACGGAATTCCCTCCTAATTCTGCCCTACGCTCCCAAAAGGTGAGGGACCTGAAAGGACAGCTAAATGCACAGCAGTCCATTTCCACCAGGCCCAACAACAAGAGCAAGGCTGCTACCATAGCATCTTATCGTGTCAGTCACGTTCTATTTCGTATAAGGCTTCGCCCTCTAAGGCTATCGCTATTGGGTAATCCCTCTGCACGTGTGCAGCACTGACAGATTTAATCCACGCCCACCTATGACGTGGCCCCACCTACGGACTCACTTCCGTATAAATAGGAAGTAGTCCCTACAATCTGCTCCCACTTTTCTTCCGCACTCCGTTGCAGAAGCACTGTACAGGCACAAGCTCTTTTCAGAGCTGTTTACTAGAAAGCAAACATTTCCCCCGGCCCCATCCTCCCTCTCCTCCGGACGGGGGAGACAGGGCGGGGCCCGGTGTCGGCCCGGCAGCCGAGCCTATAGGTTCGGCTGCCGGGCTGACACCGGGTCACCGGGTCCCTCTATCCGCCATCTCGGCTCTGCCGTATAGGCGGTATTCTCCAGGAACTCCCGGAGATCATCGGAAAGGCAGCCGCCTAATGAGATCTCCCCGTTCCCCCGGTTCAGGAGAGCTCTCCTCCGGATGACATAAGCGGCTGCCTCATAGCCTGTCGGTTATTAGGCAGCAGGGCTCGCGGCACAAACTGGCTGTCTTTAAAACCTGTCAGTTGATTAGACAGCACGGGCTTGTTTCCTATGTCACAGATATGACTCCACACACCGTTCATTCCTCAAGCGGGTTTGAGCGTGAACGCGCCTCAATGTCCGGTTTCCTAAACGGCGACATGATGAGAGCCGCTGTGCAATACAGCGTGTGGAGGTGCAAGAGCCGGCTGTAACCTTGTCAGTCAGCAGGCAGCAGGGCTCGTGGCACAAGCCAGCTGTATTTAACCAGGCGGTTATTAGACAGCAGGGCTTGACGTTTAAACCTGATGCTCCTAACCTGTCGGTTAGCGGCAGCAGGGCTCGTGGCGCAAGCCAGCTGTATTTAACCAGGTGGTTATTAGACAGCAGGGCTTGACGTTTAAACCTGATGCTCCTAACCTCTCGGTTAGCAGGCAGCACAGTTTTTTTCCTCTGTCCCAGATGTGCCTACTACACACGGTGTCACGATCTGTCTGTGTTGTGTTTTGTCTTGTCTAGATCTGTCTTTGGTTTTCTGTCTGCGTTGTGTTTTGTCTTGTTTAGATCTGTCTGTGGTTCCCTGTCAGTTTCCCTGGTGTGTCTAATTTACCCGATTGTGTTCACCTGGTGTCCCTGTGTTTTCTCCTCCCTCCTCACCTGTGTCTTGTTTGTATGATTAGTCTTGTGTGTATTTAAGTTCTGGTTTTTCTGTCTGTCTTTGTCGGTTCGTCTTGTGTTTTGACTTGGTCTTCGGTGAGTGTTCTGTTCTGTCTTTGTTTCTAGTATAGCCTTGAAATAAAGGAGATATTTTTTACACTTTAATCTGCATTTGGGTCCTGCTTCCTGCACACACCGTAACATTCCCCTCTCAAGTCACCACTCGAGTCTCCTCTCGAGTTCCCTGTTAAGCCACCTCTCAGTTTCCCCCTCGAGTTCCCTCTCGAGTCCCCCCTCGAGTTCCCTCTCGAGTCCCCTCTCAAGTCACCTCTCAAGTCTCCTCTCGAGTTCCCTCTCAAGTCACCTCTCGAGTCACCTCTCGAGTCCCCTCTCGAGTCTCCTCTCGAGTCCCCTCTCGAGTCTCCTCTCGAGTTCCCTCTCAAGTCCCTACCCAATGTCCTGGTCCGTTGGAGGTTCCGCTGGGGGTCCTGCCAACCCTGTGTCCTGTGCCGTTGGAGGCCCCGCCGTCTACTCTTCTGCCGGGGGTCCTGCCAACCCTATGTCCTGTGCTGTTGGAGGTTCCGCTGGGGGTCCTGCCAACTCTATGTCCTGTCCCGTTGGGGGTCCCGCAGACTACTCTTCTGCGGGGGTCCTGCCAACCCTATGTCCTGTGCCGTTGGAGGTCCTGCCGACTACTCTCCTGCCGGGGGTCCTGCCAACCCTGTGTCCTGTCCCGTTGGGGGTCCCGCCGACGACTCTTCTGCCAGGGGTCCTGCCAACCCTATGTCCTGTTCCGTTGGAGGACCCGCTGAGAGTCCTGCCAATCCCATGTCTTGTTCCGTTGGAGGTCCCGCCGTTACCTGTCTCGCCGGGGGTCCTGCCAACTCCTGGTCCTCTTCCGTGGGGGATCCTGCCGAAGCCTGTCCCACCGGCTCTGGTTCCTGTCCGGCCGACACCGGGTCCTGCCCGGCCTCCGGTGCTGTCCCGTCAGCGCCTTCCTGCCTGGCCTCCGGAGCTGTCTGGTCTTCGCCCTCGAGCCCGGCCCCCTGAGAGCCGCGGTCTTCGCCTTCGAGCCCGGCCCCCTGAGAGCCGCGGTCTTCGCCCCTCCATGGCCTTCGCCCCTCCATGGCCTTCGCCCCTCCATGGACTCTGCCTTGCCCCCGGGCCGTCCGCCCGAGAACCCCTCCATGGACTCTGCCTTGCCCCCGGGCCGTCCGCCCGAGACCCCCTCCATGGTCTCTGCCTTGCCCCCGGGCCGTCCGCCCGAGACCCCCTCCATGGTCTCTGCCTTGCCCCCGGGCCGTCCGCCCGAGATCCCTTCCGGGTCCTCCGCTATGCTCCTGGGTTTTGTCTTGTCTAGATCTGTCTTTGGTTTTCTGTCTGCGTTGTGTTTTGTTTTGTTTAGATCTGTCTGTGGTTCCCTGTCAGTTTCCCTGGTATGTCTAATTTACCCGATTGTGTTCACCTGGTGTCCCTGTGTTTTCTCCTCCCTCCTCACCTGTGTCTTGTTTGTATGATTAGTCTTGTGTGTATTTAAGTTCTGATTTTTCTGTCTGTCTTTGTCGGTTCGTCTTGTGTTTTGACTTAGTCTTCTGTGAGTGTTCTGTTCTGTCTTTGTTTCTAGTATAGCCTTGAAATAAAGGAGATATTTTTGACACTTTAATCTGCATTTGGGTCCTGCTTCCTGCACACACCGTAACACACGGTCATAATGAGCCCAGGGCTGTTATTACGCACTGTGTGAATAGCACTGCACACACCTCCGCTCATTCCTCAGCAGGTTTGAGCGTGAACGAGCCTCAATGTCCAGTTTACGAGCCTTCTCCTAAACAGAGACAGGATGAGAGCCGGTGTGAAATGCAGCGTGTGGAGGCCCCCTCGCAGCTTTTCGGTCCGGGCCCCTCTTGGGTTGCTTCACGGGCAACGCCGGCGAGGGCTCTGACGTGGCTCGTCACCATGACAACCACAGCACATCCAGAGCATGTTGCACGCTCTCAGAATATTACTCAGAGTGGCGACGCGTGTGTTCGATGGACAGATGGATAATAATAAGCAGCAAGACCCACCGGGTAAGCCGGCTGCCCCTAACCTGTCGGTTATAGGCAGCATGGCTCGCTGCATAAATCGGCTGTCTTTAAAACCTATTGGTTTTTAGGCAGCTCGGTTTTTCTCCTCTGTCCCAAACCTACCTCCTACACATGGTCGTAATGAGCCCACGAGTGCCATTATTACAGTGAGGACAGCACTGCACACAGCTCTGCTCATCCCTTAGGGGTGTTGAGCGTGAACGCACCTCGGTGTCCAGTTTAACACTGTAAGCAATTGCTGTTATTTTACAGCCAATCTTCAACACTAATCTACTGGCAGCCCCCTAACCAGTATGTTACTGTGAATTATT